GGCCATATATATATATATATATATATATAGTTTTTTTTTTTACAAAAAGCTACAAAAGCACTAACATAAGAGCATTTTGTAAATATAGGTTTGCTTGTTTTATAAGGCGGAGAGTTCTGGTTCCAGAAAATGATTGTTAAATTTGTCCGTTTGTGACTGAAACTGATATTTATCACCATGACCATCAGCGAGGCTATAAGATTCTTTATTAGCATTGATGGCTCCATGAAGAACCCTTGACATCCATTGAATCTTTCCATTGAACTAAAGGTTCTTTATAGTGGAAAAAAGGTTCTTAAGATTTGGAAAAAAAATGATTATTTTAAGATCTGTTCACTGAAAGGTTGTTTGGAGAACCAAAAATGGTTCTTTAATGGCACTGCTGCGGAAACCCCCTTTTGGAACCTTTATTTTAAGAGTGATAATGGCAGTGAATACAAAAAAAACTAAAAACAGAGATACCAAGAAAAAACATTTTATGCATACCAGGTTCCAGAAAACATTTTTGGTGACACTTCAGTATAGAGGCCAATTCTCACTATTAACTTGTTGCTTATTAGCATGCCTATTAATAACCCATTGGCTGTTTATTAGTACTTATAAAGCACATATTCTGCATCCCTAATCCTACCCAATACCTAAACTTAACAACTACCTTACTAACTATTAATAAGCAGCAAATAAGTAGCGTATTGAGGCAAAAGTCGTAGTTAATGGTTTGTTAATAGTGAGAATTGGACCTTAAAGTAAGTTTTTTTTTCATAGGACACTGCAATGTGCACGGGACCCTTCCCGCTCCACTCTGCCTCGAAGTAACATCGGCCGGACACGCTCTCCCTGCACAGGACCTGGTAATAGCTGTCAAACCTCTCTGGGTGGTCAGGAACGGAGAGAGAGGTTTTGCTGCACGTCACCTCGCCAGTCTCTGAGGAAATGCTGAGGTTTCTGTGAGCCGTGTTCACGTCGAGAGTCAGGGGACCCGAATCTGAAATCCAGAGACACAAGACATGGATTAACAGACAGTAATTCTGTTGTCTGTTGCACATTTGATTGCATGTGTGTGTGTGTGTGTATTACTCACATTCCAAAAACTGCTCTCTGATTTTAGGTTCAGGGGTAGGAATAAACTTCAGGTTTGTCACTAATAAGACAAAATAGAAATAGTGCATTTCTACAGCAACATTTTTTTTTAATGTTTAATAGTGTTTGGAATACTTGCATGTATTTATTGAATACTGTATGAATTCTGACAGTTCTTTAAAAAATTGTAAGTGAAACACTTCATAAACAGTTCAAACAATAGTATGCAACATTCAAAAACGTATTCCATGTTATTATATAGATATATTAAACATTGTCACATCACCTCATCACTTGTGAGTGGTTTTCATTTGCCATCTCGGAATTATGCGTATAACTGATGCGATTAATCATGATTAATCATTGCCCAGCACTAGTGTTTAATTCAGTGGTTTATCATTTAATTTAGCAAAATAAAAAAAAAAAGACTTCTGGCAATATTATCTAATAATAATGAATCAGAATGTGATTCATTGATCACATTGAAATGCACTGTAACATTTGTCATGAATTTACAGTATTAGATAAATTAGGTCAAAAATTTGCTGTGAAATAAATGCACATTGGGTTATTTTCTGCCAAATTACTGTGAAACAGCAGAATGGTGCTAACAACATGTCATTTACTGCTCTTGTTTATTATAAAGCTGTCATTAACCAGTTATACACAAGAGAAGTCCTACTGTGAAATTACTATTAAAGTAATGCAATTATGAACCTGGAATATACTGCAATTTTACACTGAAATGTTTAGTTAGCATGCTGTTCCAAACATATTCAGATGATGACTTACCTTTTTTTGACAATTTCTCCAATTTCTTCTGGCACAGATCTTTAATGTCCTCACACAGATATGTGAGTTTTCTTGACACCATCTCAAAAGAGAAGTCCGGATTGACTAGAACTGCAGGAGAGGTCACCAACTCCGGCTGACTACACAGTGCTTCGTAGCTCTGAGGAATATAATGAAATAAACTCTCTTAGACCAAAATCACAAATGACATGTACTTTAGCTCTGACGCTACCTTCAGGAACTGAGTTTCATCATCAAGGTGTGCAAGCGTGTCGTATTCAGCATCTCTCCTCTTGAACTCTGCGATCTCCTGCTCTAGTTTCTCCATAAATCCATGTGCCTCGTCTAATTCCATCTGCTCCTTTGCTTTTATCATCTCTGTCACCTCAAAACACAGTGCCTCAATGGACTGAATCAGCTCACTGAAGATCTTCTCCGTATCCTCCACTTCCGCCTGGGCAGAGCTCTGTTATACAACAAACAGAACCAGAGAAGTGATGAGTCCAAGAACCTCTCTGTGTATAACGGGTCTAATAAGGATCATAAGTTGACCCACACTATTCCACTTGTCCATTAAGATTTTCCACCTCCTGGCAGTAATAGACTCACCCTGAGAGAGAGGACGGCGTGACTCAGATCCTGTAGTTCCGTCTCACGCTCCTTTATGACCTGCTGGCATCTCCTCTGTGACTGCTTAAGCTCTTGCTGCAGACCAGAGGATAAATACATGAAGAAACATATTTTTTGAAACAACAAAAAGAAATCAAGCAGCACATGTGATGAGAATTGAATTATACATTTTGGCTTTCAAATCTTTATCAGGTTTTTTTCTCCATCATTACAAGTACTACTAGATCTCTTTTTGTTCCTATAGTTGATTTATTCCACAGCCCTTGTGAGCCATAAAGTACCAGTTTTACTAGTTCTATTTTATTTTTTCAACATTTCTTCTGTGGGTGAGCATGTTTTTCATTTCTGATTAAAATTAATTTTGATATTTTTTTAGACATAAATTTAAAAATCAGCAAAAAAGCCTGATATATAATTATTTTTATATTACAATTATTATTTATAAGGGAAAAAAGCAGTGATGTCATTGTGTGACGTCCCCCAAAAGTATTGCTACTTATCAATACGAATTGAAATTAATCATTTATCATATTTAGAAAAAGAAACCCTAAACATGTAATGATAGTCCACTGTAGGCGAGCGTAGTGAATCCAAGTGCAGATTTTATTAAACAAAGTGTAATCCAAAATACCAACAAACGAAGACTTGACTTGAACAGACTAGACTTGACTTGACTTAACTTAACTTGACTATGACTTTAACACTCATCAACAGCAGGATAAATACATTCAAACAAGTACTACTAGATCTCTTTTTGTTCCTATAGTTGATTTATTCCACAGCCCTTGTGAGCCATAAAGTACCAGTTTTACTAGTTCTATTTTATTTTTTCAACATTTCTTCTGTGGTGAGCATGTTTTTCATTTCTGATTAAAATTAATTTTGATATTTTTTGAGACATAAATTTAAAAATCAGCAAAAAAGCCTGATATATAATTATTTTTATATTACAATTATTATTTATAAGGGAAAAAAGCAGTGATGTCATTGTGTGACGTCCCCCAAAAGTATTGCTACTTATCAATACGAATTGAAATTAATCATTTATCATATTTAGAAAAAGAAACCCTAAACATGTAATGATAGTCCACTGTAGGCGAGCGTAGTGAATCCAAGTGCAGATTTTATTAAACAAAGTGTAATCCAAAATACAAACAAAGACTTGACTTGACTTGAACAGACTAGACTTGACTTAACTTGACTATGACTTAAACACTCATCGACAGCAGGATAAATACATTCAATACACAACAAGGTACAAGCATTAAACGAGATACATTTTTATCCAAACCATAACGGAAAATGTCTTTCAGGAATGTCTTTCTTTTCTGCTGGGTTCATTTTTGCGGTCGTGTATTCTGTAATGAAAATCCACTGTAGGCGAGCGTAGTGAATCCAAGTGCAGATTTTATTAAACAAAGTGTAATCCAAAATACCAACAAACGAAGACTTGACTTGAACAGACTAGACTTGACTTGACTTAACTTAACTTGACTATGACTTTAACACTCATCAACAGCAGGATAAATACATTCAATACACGACAAAGCACAAAAGCAACATGATGGCTACTTATAGCAAACAATCAGGGTCCAAGAACCAACCAATGAGGAAACAAGACACATGACTAGGACAACCAATCAGAACATGACACACAGACAAGAGTACCACATGGCAGGAACACATGACAGGAACATGAAACAAGGCAAAATATCAAAATAAAAGACATGAAAACCTAAACCAGAAACAAAACCCAAAACAGACCTTACAAAACAATACAACATTTACCTTGAAAAATTTATTCAAAATATATATTCAAGGACCTTTTTTGACTGTAATATAATAACACACACACACATTATATCTATTTGATCAATTTAATAATTTAATCTATGTTTAATCATTTAAAACTTAATTTATGAAATGTATAATGTACTTGTGCCATTATTTGTGCAAAGACAAATCCTGCTTAGTTTGATATTTTGTTATATAACGCAATTATATTCATACATTTGAGGATTAAGTGTTAAAGGCACAATATGTACGATTTTTTTTTATTAAAATATCCAAAAACCACTAGAACAGTGTTATATATTTTGCTGACTTGTGTATTTACATTATCCCAAATGTTTCGGAGAATGTTTAAATACAGAGAAATAAGCAATTTTAACTAGTGACACGGACCGTATCCATAGTGTCATTGTGTCGCCTGCCAATGACGTCATAACCCCTCAATTTCCGGTTTTGTTTTGTAGAAAACATGGAAACACCAAAGAAGCTTTACTATATGGTGTGTGTTTTAATAGACCGGTGACGACCGCACAGAGCCCGTCGGATTGCATCGGCTGTGGGGATGAAGACGACAACTCCAATGATTCCACACTCAGTCACAGCTTCATCAAACTATGCCTTTGTTTCTTTGTTTATTTTGAATACGCGCCCTCTAGCGGCGAAAAATTACATATTGTGCCTTTAAAATACTTTTGAGGGTCAACATACATAAATTAACTGACCTTTTAATGACTTATTTATTAAAGCTCTTGCTATGCTTAGTTATTATGAAGTTTTATCATCCCATTTAAAGTCAGAAGAGAAGTCAGACACACCTGACAGAACATGATGAGGTCCTGCTTTTCTTTTGCAATGACTTCATCATTCTCCGCTCCAGGGATGGTGGGGGAACGCATTCCAGTCTGTCTCAGTTTCTCAACAACTTCAGCAAACAGTGTGTTTTTGTTGAGCGCAGGTCTCGGGGAGAAGGTCTGTCTGCACTCTGGACAGCTGCACAACTTCTTCTGGTTCTTCTGCTCCCAGTAGCTCTTAATGCACTCCAAACAGTAGTTGTGTCCACAAGGAATGGTCACGGGGTCCCGCAGAAGGTCCATACAGATGGGACAGCTGAACTGCTCCTGGTTAACAAAAATACCAGCTTCTTCCTCTGCCATCTTTTACAGTTAAGGTAAAAGACAGACTGGAGAGAGTATGGCGTTTGCTTGTGCCTCCCACTATTGTCTCTGTATGAGGTTGTAATGGGAGGAGTCAGCTTGTCGTGTGAGGTTACAGTGTGTGCCACTGTGCTCATGTTTCAGAGGAGTCACAAGCTTAATGAAGTCATTAAATCTTTGTTGTTGGTGTTTTGTAATGAATATTTTCATCTTTACCTCAGAAAAGTGATTCACAGCGTCGAGTACACAAGTAAAGCTTCTGGAAAGATCAACCCCAGGGATGATGCTGGTTGTTCCAGACAGTGCATGTTTGTTCATGCCCACTGGATGAATGCGTGCATAATGACATGTTTCATAAGATGT